TTGAGATTCAAGTGTTCAAAATGTTCAATACTTTGATACTTTTGGATACTTATGTGTTTTATGATGATACAATGAAATCCATTATTTCAATGATTGATAGAATCAAAAGTACCAAGACCAAACTACAGTGATAATGTTAATGAATAGCTTCTGCCAACGAGAGAGGGAACACTGTCTCAACTGCACAAAGAGATTTAGTTGCAAAAGTATATCTGCAGTTCAGACACTGCGCATAAGATTGCCTGCAATTTTTGATCATTAAAAACAAGAAATAACCCATTATTGCCTGCTTAGGATTGTATTTTTGTTGCCATGGTATCAAAACAGGTATTGATATAACCACTATTCTCATGTTATTAAAAGTAGTGAAGCAATTTGTTTTCTATGTTAAAACAGATTGTGATGTAATTTGAAAAAAGGCTCTCTCAGGTTTCTATAACAGCCTGTGGACAGGTTTCTATGGAAAGGATTCGAGGCATTTTTCCTGGAAAATCGGAAGGATGTCATGTTTATGTGTGCTCCTGAGACTTTACATACATACAAAGCTGATTATATTTGTCTGGAAAGGAGTTTGCTAACTTCTGCGACTAACAACCAAAATACAATATCAACATAAGGTCCAGGTAAGCAGACAACAACTGAAAGGTTTTATCCAGAAAAATGAGTAATTTGGGGGAAAATGAATCAGTGGTCAAAATATTTTAAAAGTCTTATTTTACTTATCTCATTTCTAAATGATAGCTACAAATAGAAGTGACTCCCATGTTGGCCCACATCACATCAGGGTTTCCGCTGATGCCCACAGTGCTGGCTTGCGCCCACAAATTGCCAGCATGCACACAATCTTAAGACAAAGAACGCTGTCTTTAGATGACTTCATGGCCCTCAAGATCAACTACTGCTTTATTTCTGACACGACTTTCTCGAAGTCCACATTGTACCTTTACATTTCTTTGAACTCCTAATAGAAATTCTCAACCTCATCGTTTTCATCCTTTTTTGCCGCATGAACTCTACTACTATCGGAAATCTGGTACTGGAACATCAAGAGTACGCCTACTAAAAAATGTGAATAACATATTGTACTTCACTGTTACTATACACACTTTGTTGATACGCCACTATTGTATTTAAAGACGGGAACAGGCAGTCCATCTTCAGGGTCACTCCTGGAGGAATGACCCACAGCTTCGCACCGACGTCGAGGTTTGATCAGCTTTTATGAGAACAGTGATTTGGAAGGAAGCATGAATGACTCTTGAGTGAGCGTAAGAGCTCGTGCACATCAGTGTAAGTGTGAGTGTCCGTGCGTGTGTGTGTGTCATCTCCAGCTGAGTAGCAGGATGCAGACAACCAGGAAGAGATAAGCGCGGGTGAATGGAGGGAGCTCTGTGTGTATGTGTATCGAATGTGTGTGCCTCTGTGCATGTGTGTGTCTGTATGGGGAAATCACTTCACAAAGGCCTGGAAGTGTGTGTTCTCCTGTCTACCAGCGCGGGACTCGGAGGAGATAAGCAGACAGCCAATTATTCCCCGCGTGTTTTCCCAGCAAAAACAGGAGGCGGAATACCAACCACTCAGACCAATGCCACAGGGTCAAGCCCGGAATGAGCCACATTTCCATTTCTTACAAGCTGCACACACACACACACACACTCAGAGAGAAAGACATGCAGCCATCAACTCTTTACAAAACTGACAACTAAATCTGCCCATGCTAGGTGTGCAACTACTGCACTACTGTCTTCATTATCTCTTCATCATTTGATTCATTCTTCCATTTGTAGATGGATGCAGAATGTGAAGCAAGTTAAATTGATGTGTATTCTTCAAGACACTACAGTGTAAGCTAGAAAATATTTGCATGCATGTACATGTGATGTCTCCGAGTAGTACATGTGACGTGCGTGAGAAAATCTGTGTATGTATTTTGATTTTAAAGGTTTCGTGTTTGTTCATGAAGATTTAAAATTTGGTGTTTACAATGATTACTTTATTTATTTCTAACCATCTTGCTGGTGATGGTTTGTAGGTGTGTGTTTTGGAGATATGCAAATTGAAGATAAGTGTTAGAAAGAAAAGGCAATTATTTGATTCATATTAATATTTACATACAGTATATACAGCTGTCACTACAGTTATTTTCAGAAGGGTTTATTGATCTATATCTTTATAACATAAATTTATAAGACTACATGTAACACAGTGGCTCATTTGAATAAATAGAATCAATCAAATTTGCCAGATTTTTTGACTGATTTGATGTCCAATCAACTTTGATGGCAAATTCCTCAGTGCATGTTTTCCCTTCTTGAGCAGCTGTGACATGATTGCCAACATTTACCAGGATGCATTGGGCGTAAGCAGCCACAACCTTGGCTGTGCTCTGCAGCATTTTTATGGCCGTTTACTATAAAAGAAATGTTCAAATTAACATTTGATGCTATTCTGAGGCCAATTACTCCAAAATGCTCAAAAATGGCAGCAAAATGGTGAGGGTTAGAAACAGGCTTTACACATAGAACATGCTGTTTTGGATGCTGGCAAAAATGTCCGTTGGTTGTTTGTAAACTAGGTCTGCTGTCTGGCAGTCAAATTGGAATAAATAAAGCAAGGATTTGCTTTACATTTAATCCGAACACAACTTGCACAATGTGTAAATGTGCTGGTCTCAGTTCAAGTCCAGAGACCTTTGCCGCATTACGCGCCCCTCCACCCAGTTGCTCTCAACTGTCTGATATCTAAATCAAAGCAATGTGAAAAATTAATATTATACTACAAATAAAAGATTTGATAAAACGTGTGCATAAGAATTCACTGAATAGAAGAAACAGAAAAATCTCTGAAAACATGAGTCTGGTGTGTGGATTTGCTTTGAGAGATCTAAGCCGTGCGTATGAATACATCCTTTATGTTCACTGATATTTGCAGCACATAAAAAACTGTTTTCTCACTCAGTTATTTTAACCTGCAAGAGTCGCTCAAACATATGTAGACTGACTGTCTCCCTGTAACCTGCCAGGCACCCAATCAAAAACACAAACAGACACTCACAGGGTAAGGTCCCAGCATTACTAAAAACCACAGAGTCATGGGACTGCTGTATCAACATAAAATCACCCACACAGAGATCAGTGTAACATGCACATGAATAACACACACACACACACACACACACACACACACTGACCGGTGTCAGGTTTGTGTATTTGGTATGTGTGGAATGTGTGTCGGTCAGCGTACCAACGCTCGGCATTCTGGGTGGACCTGTTATCACTGCAACGTGTCATCAGAGACAACTTTAAAGCAGCAAAGTGCCATTTAAATAAGACAAGCAGGGACACATACATATATAAAAACACATTTACACACACATGCGCAGTCGGCAATTGTTACCAAAACAACGATAGAGAAGAGGCTTTTAAGTCATACGACACTGCAACATGTTCATTGCAACAAAAACAGGAGAAGAGAGGTTCAGCCTCCACCTGCTCTGCAGAGATGATGCTGATGTAGTGAGAGAGGTTAACAAGCAGCAACAATCCTTACTGCTCATTGAGCTTTGCTACAAGGTCTGCAGGGAGTGATTGTAAAAAGCTTTCTTTTACCAGAGGAAAATCGACACACGTCTGCACTAGACACAAACAGAAATAAAAGTGAAGGCAAACATATTGTATTATTTCATCACAATAGAGGAGTTCTATTCTATTCTATTGCTGTAAGCATCAGCAGACTCTGATGCTTCTGCTGAATGTTGTAGTGGCCAATGACACATGAATTCAAGGCTACAATAAAAAGGATAAGAAAAAGTCACAGGTAACAGTTATACACACAAGTTGTGCCGGAATCTGAGAACATCAAGGCAGAAAGAAATTGTAGAGCGATATATATATATATCCTACATCTGGAAATCCCAATACTTTATTGTGATTTAGAACTTTTTAAAGCAAAAGTTAGAATATCAAATGGTTGTATTCTCAAACAGGCAGTATATGTACGCACAGTTTAAGATACATGTAGGTAAATTGAAATCGTACTGCATTGGTATCTTTACTTATGTATAAAATTAAAACACATTTAAAGTCAACTATAAAGACCATACAGTACAAATGTATTATGTATGTACAGGCCATATCATTTGTTGTAAAACATTAAGAGTGAATCTCCAGACTTTATCTCCAAATAAATGAGTTTATTTGGGTGGAGCACAGACATTACACATACAAGACCTGTATTATGCTGAGAAAAAAAGATTTTTGACAATTTTGACTTACAGTTAAAATCAGTGACAACAATATGTTGACAGTTATTTTATGAACCAATTATGTACATGTTCCTTCTGTCTTTATACACACATATGTTTGTTTTATGAGACCAGTCAGGGTTACAGTTGTTCCACAGCAGCCCACAGCCTGTCATTAAATGTCCAACCATTTTTTTTTTATCACTGCGTGTGCGTGTGTGTGCGTGTGTGTGTGTGTGTGTGTGTGTGTGTGTGTGTGTGTGTGTGTGTGTGTGTGTGTGTGTGTGTGTGTGTGTGTGTGTTGGAAAGAGAAAGAGTGTTCTGGTGCACTTGAGTCCAGCTGTTTCTCATCTACGTTGATGGTCGATTTAACATCTGGACGCACGCGCAAACGTGCACGTCTAAATATGCCTCAGTATTTCGGCTGCAATCACCAAAACTCTGCACTCATTAGATGCAGGCGCTGAATAGCCTACGTGTGCGTGCATCTCAGGGGTGCACGGGTTCAGTAGGACCGTCACCGGGCAGCACGTGTCATCCACCCGCGGGATCTCCACCGGTACTGACTTATCGGTTGTGATGGGTGGGGAAACGGGGGCATCTGGATGATTGTGTACACATGCACACACATACAGCCGCTGTCAGCTCTCATAAACGTGCCAACTCAGAGCCAGTGCGCTCGAGGGTAAAATCACACTTGCAAAAATACTTATTTTCACTTCTATTTTTACGATTTGAAAAAAAAAAACCGACTCACCAGCTTTGCAAGGGTCTTTGTAGTCAATGGTCTCCGCTTTATCTTCCTCGTAGTAATCATAGTCTGGCTCCTCGTAGTCGAAACAGTTACAAATAGTCACTTTGCCCCAGAAAGTCAAGCCTGCAAGCATCAGCGTGATCCAGCGCATCTTAGCGGCCAGTGCCGAGGGCACTTGGTCCATCTGAGGACTCAAATCAACGGTTAAATGCCTCTCTGCTCGTCTCCCCTGCTGTTAGGAGATGGTCAATCCACTCTCCAAAGAAAGCACCGGTAGCAGGAATTTAACGGCTCATCGTGAAGATCGCTCTCTTCTCTGACAGTCAGGTTTTATACTGTAAAGGCTGCAGTAAGTTACTCTGCCCGGCTCTCCTCCATGGTGAGAGTACACGGAGGTGCCTTTTTTGTCCGTCAGTCAGCAAAGTGTCCTCTGTCCTCCGCTGTGGCTTCGCAGGTGAGGCTGCTGTGGGTAAAGAAACAACCAGAGAAAGAGAGAGAGTACGTGAGGGGGGATCAGGAGTGGATGATCCCTGAGCGTAAAGACGCACAGCGGTGAGTCTGAGTGCTGCTCACACAAGTAACATCGTATCTCAAACCAGCCCTGTTGTCTCCCTCTCTCTCTCTCTCTCTCTCTCTCTCTCTCTCTTCCTCTCCCCCCTTTCTCTTGTGTCCGATAGCGTTGCGTTACTGTCTCTCTCAACCCGACTCAATGCACCGCCTACACACACCCATTCAGCCAAATACCTGCACTGTTCTACCCAAGTGGTGCAGAACAAAAACTTCCTTTGCCCTCTTGTTTTTATTCATTTAGCATTTGCTGCAGATTGAACATGGAGTTATTCTCTCAACAACAACAATAAAGCAGAAAAAAAGACTCTCAACCATAAATTGCATATTTTGGATAAACCTCAGTAAACTCTTCGCTCAACTAAGGGCACATAGATGAAGCGCGCACTGATCTGACAGGTTATTGGACCTCGACTCACATGGATCCGCAACTGGAGAGTGAAACCGGTAGCGGTAAAAGTAACAAGGCGGATACAAATTGGCCTGTGGGTTTTAGTATCCATCAGCCCTTATAACCGGTGCGTAATGGGTGTTATCTAGCTATTTAGAGGCAGGTGCCAAGTAGGTGACAACCAAACCATAAATGCCCAGAGTACAGGGCTTTCAGTTGCCTTTACAATCATGACAAGTATGTCATGGAAAGAGTGAAACGGAAAAAAAGATCCAAGGGTAGATTATTTGCAACTCAGAGCAATTAGGCTTAGTAAGGCCTTGTGCGTAAAAGACGAGAAACAAAACAGTAATTAGATTCTCTGTGTTTTGGGAATGTTCTGCAATCATGCAGGGTTATTATTTCACCCATGGGTAAATGTTTCAAAAGTTACTTAAAAACTACACTTATATACATATTTGCGTATTGTTTCATGTTTCTAATAGTTTTTCGTTATTGTTCTGTCATTTAAATTCGAGTAAGATCCTATAATACATGTTTAAATAACGGATTGGGAATTCATGCGTCCATATCAGCCTGCATGTCATTCAGCAATGATGTCTTCTATAATCTGTCATTAACTCTAACCTTGCCCTGCAGTAGGTCGGTCAACAACAGATGAGTGAGTTCATGTGGGTTCCCGGTCTTCCACTGCATCAGTGGTACCCATAACTAAACTGCAGTAACCTTTAATATATTGTTCATGTATTTAAAACCAAAGAATGTTACAAAAAATGAGGGAAATATTCCGTATAATGTCAGTATGATTTAGCGTAATTTCCCCCAAATTTTCATGAACTGCAAAGTTATCAACAAACATAATCTCTCAGGTGCAACCTTCAGACGCACACAGTAGACACGAGCAGTAAAAATAAAACAGCAGTTGTTGACAGACAAGCGTTGCAGCCTGCGAACACCTTGTCAAGGTAAATCCTCCTGAGACGAGTTCAACCTGCGTCTCCAAAGCTTACCCGCTGCGTGTACCTGCCCCGGGGCCCGTCAGTTTGCTGCGGCGTCACGAAGCGACCCATCATGCTCCAAATGCAGGCATCTTTGTCAGGGGTCTCAGGGGGCCTCCGGTATCACTCGGTACCGGCGGTTCCGAACGTGCCAGCCTCCCTCCATTTATTACCGGGAGATTACCGGAGCGCTGTCTCTGCTGCTCCCGACTAATCCTGCCCTCTGGGAGAGGTAGCGGCGCGCTGACGTCACTCTATCAATCCAGCCGCAAGCTGTCCACTATACACGCCTGGGGCATGGAAACAAATCCCCTGGAGACAACACACACACACATACAAACACACAGTGTAGGTGAACACACGCCTGATTGTTTTCCTAAAATAGAAGACCAACTGAACAATTATAAGATGAAGGACCTTTAAAATTCTTTGAATAACTTCCATAAAAATGATTTGATAACAAATACACAGAGCAGTCAATCCTGGCTAAAAGCTGAATGCTAACATGCTCACAATGAAAACCAACTATGCTCATGTTTTACAGGTAGCCATACGTTAACCAACGCTTTGACATGCTGACATTTGCTTGTTAGCACAAAAGAAAGATAACAGCTAAAGTTAATGGGGGCTGCAAGTATTTTTTTATGGTTGGTTACGTATCAAATAACTGGAAACAAAATATTAATAATAAATAATAAAACAGTTTTGCTGATGGTGGAACTACATATAAGCTTATTCAGAATGAGAGGGACACATTCATAATCAGAGGGACACAAGAGGTCAAGGAGCAAAACACAAAACACAGTTAGGATTTGGTTCGTCTATTTACGCTCTCTGATGTTCCTGGCTTTGGATAAAAGTGTCCGCTAAAGGAGTTTTATTCGGCATTGGGTTAAAAAAAGGACCTTGAGAGACTGAATAAGTTTAAATCAGGTTTCATTCTATATTTTTGGTTCTGTTGTCCATCACAAAGCCTCCAAATAAGTCTAAATAAATACACTTTTATAGTACAATATTGAAGTTTTTTTTTTCCTTTTAAATAACTGAGCTGAACTCACTCATCGGCTGAAACATATTACGTGTGCTTCTATGTGTGTGTGTGTGTGTGTGTGTGTGTGTGTGTGTGTGTGTGTGTGTGTGTGTGTGTGTGTGTGTGTGTGTGTGTGTGTGTTGGTGGTTTTGAATGTTCTTCTTAGCAATTCTAATTAACACTGGGGAAGGCATTGAGTGGCGTTTGGGCCTCCCTGACCACTTACAGTACACCTCTGTGTGGTTATCATCGAGCCAAACTATTCAGCAAAATGCATCCTTCTTAAATAGGATCCAGCTATTGAGATTAATGCTGTGTTCAGGAATTTGTGTCCCTATTTAAAGCATTTATTGATCAGTGTGTCTCTGAAACTCTCTGAAAGTCCCTCGCCAGCATTCTTACCCAGCACAGTGACCACCGCCACCACCACCCACCCCCACCACCCCCGAAACTACACACACACAGAGGCTTGCGCACCGGGAGGAACTCTCAATCTGAGCCCCTTGAGACTCTCCCAAGTGCTGTGGTCTGCAGGTATTGGAGCACTATTATTAGCTTTGTTTTCCTCAAACACACTTTCCAATCAATTCTATGCAGCAGCTGAACTCCACAAGGTTTACACTGTTCTTGTTCAACTTTAAAGTTATATGATGTACCCACTTTACAACCTCACTAAATGACAAAATTAGCTTCAAGCTTTTGCCTCTTGAGGACCATTTAGGTGCTACTGGGTCAAATATTACCTACGGGTACAACTAAAGTTACCTGAACCTGATATTAGTCTCAGGAGATGCTGGAGACCTAAACCGGTTGGGTTTGGTTTCACCCAGCATCACCTCTAGGTGTTCTTCCACCACCACACACATCTAAAAAAAATTAAACTCAAAAGCTTTATATTACAATTCAATGCTCACTTATTCTGGGACTCAGTAAAGCTGAGGAGAAGTCTGTCCTGCTGGCACCCCACTGTCTCTCAGAGTGGTAACGCCATAAATATGCATGATTCTGAGTCTTAATACAATTGGAAGAACTGTGAAATAAAGGAATCCTAGGTCTTTGAAAAGTGGCACATGCAATGACGATGATTTATTTTCTGTATGGGACAAAATCGTTTACAATGTTTGTCTCTTTGTTATTTGGTTCCTTTTTGGTTCTTTTATTTCTCTCTGCGGTCTTTTATGTGTCTTTGAGGCCTTTTTATGTCTGTTTTGGTGTTTTAGTATCCTTTTAGTGCTTTTGTTTCTTAATAATAATTGTATGTCTTTAGGTCGTGTTGTTGTTGTTTTTGTGTCAATTTCTGTAGTAGTTTAGGGTCTCTTACATCATTTTGATTGGCTTCTCAACTAGACTTTTAAGACTCACTTAAAAAAGAGGCCCCAGCCCAAGGGCACCCTGGGCCCCTGAGACTATTCAGTAAACTATCCATGAATAACTCAAGGCCCAGTAGCTCCGTCTTGCAAAAAGAAGTGAAACACTGAGATACACAGCAGTTAAGGGAAGAGTTTCATAAACCATCTTTGACATCTTATGCTATGTGTGATTTCATTGCTTTTCTTGTATATTTTTAATGCAATGTTATAAAGTCAGACAATTCTTAACTTTGCATAAAGTAAAGGAACATTTACAGTCAGAATCAGAAATACTTAATCCCCCGAGGAAATTTGGTCAAGGTTTGAAACTGCCACTGACAAGAGCTTCTAAACAGTTTTTTGACAAAGATCTAAAGAAGTTATACCACTGACACAAGATGGTAAAAAATGATTATAATCCCAGAGGTTAAAGGTATAGGAGAATAAAAATGTCCCTCATGGCTACTGACTATCAGGGTGTCTTAAGTGTTGTTTGAATCTCCGTTAGAGAGAAGTAAAGTGGTGGCCAAAGACATCCATCATCTTTTGACAGTCTGCTGACAACACAGCAGAGAACAATAGAGGAGGATAATGCTAAGATAATTGTTTTGTAAATCCTTAATTGTCTAAGTGGATCTGTGTGTAGCCCCTTATTCATTACACTTGTTTGGTACCAAAAAAAAAACTCTTTCAAAAAGTATTAACTCTCTTGTAACCTTAATGAAAGTTTGAAGTGGAATATTAAGATGTTTATGACATTTTTCATACAAGATAGGCTTTGTTCTACACAGGCATACATAGAACAACCTTCATACATAAACACATTCTTGGACTCTCTTACTGTGGGGCTGTGAAGTGGTCTCTCATTGTGTAAACAGTAAAGAGCGGAGGGAAGACAAGGTACAGTAAGGAAATCCTCTGCTTAAATGCCAAGCTGTGAATGCCATTCTCCCTCTCCTTCTCTTATTTCCTCTTTCTGCATCTCTCAGGGCTCGTATTCTCCACCTTCACCTCTTTCCCGCAACCTCAACTGTGTTCGTGCATGTGGGCGTGAATGCGTTGGGGTGCACGTGCCAGCTAGTGGCACACATTCATGATTCTGGTCATAGATGACAGTGCTTTTGTGTCTGTGCCATCACTGTTAACTGACTGGGGAGATGAACAATGAACTCAGGATGTGTATTGGAGTTTGAAAAAAATATCTGCAGCTATGGGGGGGAAAAGGATG